ACGAGTTTAGTCATGATAACTCGTTTATTAAATGTACACGAATTTAAACATGAAGTACTTGATTCGAATAATTTAGCTAGACACATATATAAAAAAAATATAAAAGTATGAAACCAATTTTGAAGTATTAATATAAATTACATGAACCACGAATAAAATAATGTTAATATATGTGTTTTATTTGTAGAATAAAAACCAATTATATGGACCTCTTAAAAAAACTTGTGAATTATATTAACTACTCTTTTAATTAATTACTATTTTTAAATTCAAAGATATTTTTTCTCATATGCTTAAATTTTAATCAGAAAAAATAATATATTCATTAAAAAGACTGCCAGGAGACAGTATACTAATCGCTTAATACTTGTTGTATGACATGTAATATGGTTCATATATTATTTCAATGAATATGCCACATAAATAAATGAGACTTGACATTAAATTTTTTATATACTGAAATACTATTTATTTGAAATAAGAAAATATTCAGCTAAATTGTAAAATCAATATATTCAACCACATACTAAATATTCTAATGGAAGCATAACGCAAGACATTATGGTCTCGAATAAAATTATTTAAATAAATTTTATTTAACTAAATAATATAATGTAAACACAAAAGGAAGATGGAAAACAACATAATGAGGTAAAAGGAAAAGCGAGAAGAGGCTTAAACCATTTTCAAATATATAATTCATTGATATAATTTAAAATAAATAATCTTTTTAGGCCAAAATAAGATTAAGCCGTGGTTAGTCTAATATAACATGGACTAAAATACTTTTTACTAGTATACATTCAGATGCACCGAAAAATTAAGACGGGCTAGAGCCTACCCCAGCCTTTGGGGTGGCTCCAGGCCTGCTCTTTCTTCTGCTAGGAAGTTCAAAGCACAACCCACCTACAACAAAGACAAGGCTTTTCCACTGAATGCCCACTTGAGTCTAGAAAATCAAAATAGCATAAAACAGAAATCTCATCCACTGACCACAACACTCTTCAGAGTTGACTGTAGTTCACAAACTCCAAAGGCGTGGCTAGAAAATTTTTCACCCGGGGTTGCAAAATATGCGACAGTTACTCGAACTGAGTTGTCCTCTAACAAAGTTCTATTCCACTTGTAAAAATTAGAGATTGACTTGCTTGTATATATAAACGAGTCAAGCTTGAATAACTAATCAAGCTTGTCTATCAAACAAGTCGAGTCGAACGTGTTCGAAAATAATTTGGTTAGAGTTTTAGATTTTCGTCGAGGTTTTTATGGTTTAAGAAATAACTTGAAATGAGTTTATACGAGTCGAACCCAAGCTAATTTTTTTTTGTATTATTAAACAAGATGAGCCACGACAATTCATTTATTAAATGAGCACGAGTTCAAACTTGAATTATACTCAATTCGAAAAATCTAACTAGACACATGAATAAAGAACTCAAACCATGAAAATAAGTTTTACATTTAATATGAAGTACATGATTTACACAGTAAATAATAGTAAAAAGTGAATGTAGCATTTATAAACTAAAAATTATTATACTTTCTAATTAGTCGNATATAACTCAAACAAGAACAACGTTCCCAATCAAATGTTGAAACTAAAACTGAGAGGCACATCAACAAGATGGCCTAGAACCTCGAAGCAACTGAAACACTCGAACTAAAAAACAGGTTAAAGAAGACATAGCCACTGCCATAAAGCCTAGCATAGCTCTCCCAACCGAGAATAAAAAATCACATCTACCTGCTAATAGAAACAACAAAACATGGAAAAGCCTATAATAATATTACAAGAGCAAAAACAATACATTAATGAATGGAGATAAATTCCTGCCACTCTGATTGAACCATCCTTATAACCAAATGAACTGGAATGAGAGTTGTCTGAAATATCCACAAATTTCGCGTTTTCCATAGCCACCAAAGCAAATAAGTGGTAAGTTGGATCCTGTGGCTTGAAGTTTTTGATTTGTCAATGGAACATACCTGTTGCCACCAATGTTTAAAGCATTTGACAGGTTGAGAAGTTCTATCCCATGATACTGGAGCAAGATCCCATAATCTACTGGCTTTAGGATAAGTAAACAACATATGCTCAATTGTTTCTTGATATGCTCCACATCATCTGTAGTAGGTGTCAACATCTAGCCCCTTCTTTTGCAAGTTAACTAAGATAGGCAATGCACCATGAAGACATTTCCATAGAAATATTTTGATCTTTCCAGGTATTATCAGTGATCAGCTCCTGTTGAGAGTGTTCTTCATAGGCATTGCATAGGAGCTACTCTCAGGTTGATCCATGGAGTGGACTTTTTGCAGAGCAAGATGATGATAGGTCTTGGCAACTGAGTATTCCCCTTTTCTGTCCAGGTCCCAGTACATTCTATCACTAGCACTAGGCCTCAATGTTTTGATGGCTAAAATGGCCTTACTGTCATTCTCAGAAAACACCTGCTTGACGAACCATTGATTCCATCATGTACCATCAGCCAGAATTAAATCCTTAACATAAATGAGGTGACCCCTAGCTATATTAATCAACTCAGGCCTTGGTTTAAGCAGATTTGGGAATCAATTGTCATCCACAATTCTAGTCTGAGCTCCACTTCCAATTTCAACTTTCAGCCACTTAGAGAAAATAGGAAGAACCTCCAGCCAGCATTTCCAGAGCCAAGAGTCCTTATGAGATTTAGCAACATGAAATATGGAAGTATTTGGATAATATCTGTCCTTCAAGATTTGGCTAACAATCAATTCAGACTGTGTTGATATTCTTCATAGCTTCTTGCAAATCAGAGCCACATTGAACAGTTTGATATCCTGGAAACCAATACCTCCATTCAATTTAGGCACATACAATTTGGTCCAACTCTTCCAGGGAATACTATTAGAACCATCATTTTTAGAATTCCACCAGAACTGTGCACAAAGTCTGGAAATTTCCTTACAGAAGACTGAGGGAGTTTGAAACAAGACATGGTGAAAACTGGGAGAGCTCGAATCACTGCCTTCAATAACACTTATTTCCTATAGAAGACAGAATTTTTGACTTCCAGTCTTGCAATTTCCTTTGAATGGACTCCAGCAAATATGCAAAAACCACTTTCTTGGACCTGCCAATACCAAGGGGTAACCCCAAATATCTAGTTTATCTATGGGATTGAATACCCTTCATGGTTGAACATATTCTCTGCTGAATGTAAGTAGGAGTATTCCTACGAAAAAAAAAATGGCTGATTTTTGGAGGTTAACTGTCTGGCCAGTGAACAACCTGTATTTATTCAATAAATTCAAAAGTACTTCAACTTGATCCATACATGCTCTACAGAAAAACAAGGAATCGTCTGCAAAGAGCAGATGTGACAGAAGTGGACCTTTTCTAGAAAGCTTAAGTCCTTGCAAATGACCAGAGTTCACCGCATCCAAAATAAGAGCAGACAACAATTCAACAATAATAATGAAAATATAGGGAAATAGAGGATCCCTCTGTCTAATGCCCCTGAAGGGCTTAATAAATCCACTGACAGCACCATTCACTTTCAAAGAAAGAGTTGTTGAGGATATAGAGACTAAAATTAGCTTTACAAATTCTCTGTGAAACCCCATCTGGATCATGATTTGTTTATGACTGAGACATTCAACTCTATCAAAAGCTTTCACAAGATCAAGCTTAAGAGACATGAACCAATTCTTACCTGATGTGTGCCTATTCAAAAAATGAAATGCGTCCTGTGCAATGATGACATTGTCCATTAGTTGTCTCCCCTTTAGAAAAGCTGATTGATAATGACTAATGCAACTATCCAAGTAGGTTTTCAGCCTCTGAGCGAGAATTTTTTAAAGCACTTTGTATACCACTGTGTTAGATATGCTGTAAAAGTGTGGCTTTCAGATATGAACAATACTATTTTGATCTATCAATCGTGTTTTAGTCAAAGTAATTGTGTTTGTAGATTATTTATTTATCCAATCATAACTCCATTATTTTACACTGTAGATAATGTGGTTCGTCGTTTTGAACAGAAAGATCATATTATCGGTTCCTTGTAAAATATAAATTTATTGTTCACAGTTTAGACAGGCAGTGAGACCCCTGTTGGAAAAATACTATAGTGTAGTCTTGATTCAGTTGATCTTTGACTGATGGATTACACTAGTACTTATGATAAGTATTGAACGGACCGCGGAAGGATAAGATTATAAGATTTACTGGTTGATATTATAATCTAGACCTTCAGTAATTGATGCGTTCTCTTAAGCTGTAAGACAATATAAAATGGGCATATATATTCATTACTTACTTATTGATTTACCAAGGGTGATTCCTATTCTGCTAGGATGACATGCTCGCTATTTTGGTAAGTAAGAGTGTTTATATGATGTTTATTTACAGTCACTATGTCCCAGTGTGTTGGGTTGATGACGTCCCCAAAATGAGCTCAGGAAGGAATATTATGTCAAACCCTGCAGGTGGACAATTATCCGACATAATGATTAATGAACTGAGTGGTACTAATTTCATAAATGAAAAAGTCAATTTAATTTAATTGTCAGTAATTAAATTAATTGACGGATGTTATGTCTTAAACATGGGGAGGTAAGTCGGTCAATTAGATTAATATTAATTAATCATTTGGAGGCTTGATTTATTTAATAAATTGGAGCTAAATGGGGAGAACAATAAATATTACTCTAGTGAAAATGTTTTATTATTTAATTCTATTTAGATTAAGGAATTAATTTTATTCCATAACTAATATTCCATTACGAGAGGAATATTCCTTCTACACAATGTCTTGGACTCTGCCCACATTATTCCACACGTATGAAACAAGGATTCCTAAGGGAAGAAGGAAGTTTTGTGTGTTCAATATATTGAGAGTTCGAGAGATCCAGAAAATCGCCCACCAAGATTTTTTGGAGTAGATGGTTAGATCATGCATTAGAAGATCTTAAGATTAGATAGATCAAGCCTTAAAGATCTACACCTTTCTGGTCAGCCGCCACCGTCCTCCGCCGCCAGCAAGTCGCGGGAAATCGCCGCCGCCGCCCAAAGTCGCCAAAAGCCGCCCAGTGCCCAGCCGCACGCAGCCGCGAGCATCGACCCGCAACCACGCGCAGCCAGTCGCTACCGCGCGTCACCAGGGACGCACCGCGCCATCACCTTTCTGCTCGTGCCGTGCCATCTGCTTGCTCGTGCCCTGCTGATCGCCCAAGTTCTTCGCGCCGTGCACGCCTCGCGCGAGAAGAAACGCGTGCAGCAGTCCTCGCGCGACCAGGAGACTGGCACTGCACAACCCGCGTGTTCCCAGACGCGCACGAGCCCAGTCCACCCAGGCGTAGGAGTCTCGCAGCGCACGACCCGCACGAACCCGAGATCCCAGCGCCGCCCTTGTCTGCTCCAGCACCCATGCATCCCGTCCAGCGCCAGACGTGACCTGTGTGACCAGCCAACGACCCGAGCCAACGCCAGTCCGCGAATCACACGAGCCCGACCCAACCGATACGTGGCGTGCCCGAGTCAACCCGACAACTCGAACCCAGTCCAACCGGCCTGAGCCCGACGAGCCTGATTCGGTGATCCGTTCGTGATTCAATGACTCGATCAGAATCGAGAAAGGCTAAAACCCGTCAGCCCATCGGGTTGTGGTAACCAAACAATCTCCATCAAAGGAAATCAGAAACGTCTCTAGGTCGGCAAAAATTTTAAACGGTAATGTCCTAACCCTAACTATAGATTCTGCTGTGTTAGGGTTTATTTTTCAAAAATTCAAACGTGCATGTTGTTGTCGTTCCTAATAGAACCCAACACACTGTGCACAAACTGATTGGTTTGAACTGACTTAATGTTTCAGGGACAGAGCATTTGGGAATGAGAGATAGAATGGTGTGATTCCAGTAATGCAACAGATTCCCAAACTGAAAAAAAAAACTCTTGATGGAATAGTAAAATCATATTTAATCAAATCACAGAAATGTTGGTAGAAAAGAGCATTCATACTATGTTCCCCAGGGGATTTTTCAGAATGTAAGCTGAACAGGGCACTCTTGATTTCTTCATCCTCAACTGGTTGTAGAAGTGCTTGGTTAATATCCTCTGTTATTGATTGGGGAATCAGATGTAAGATTGCATCACCACCCAAGCAGCCTTTAGAAGCAAAAAGGTTAAAATAAAATTTTGCAATGTGAGTCTCCATCTCCTGTTGAGAGCAAAATTTTTCACCCCTTGAAGAAACAAGCCTGGTGATGGCATTCATCCTTCTCCTATGTTGAGCATATGCATGGAAGAACTTGGTATTACCATCACCCTCCTTCAGCCATGTAAGTCTAGATTTTTGCTGCCAATAGGTTTCTTCAAAATGGTGAGCATTGTTGAGCTCTTTCCTGATTTCAGCCCATTCCTCCCATTTAGATTCTGATTTATTCTCCCTAAAACTATCTAATCTCATAGTGAGTGCTGCAATTTGTCTTTGATTTTGGGTGCTCCACTGAAGCAAGGCCAGCCTGGTGTGCTTAACCTTTTCTTTGAGTCTGAAAAAAGGGGTTCCATGCACACTGGTAACCCAAGCCTTCTTCACCACATTTGTCATCCCTTCCATTCCAATCCATATGTTATAAAAAATAGAATCTTCTTGGGCTTTTCACTCTGTCAGTCCCAGGATCTCTGATAAAAGAGAATGGTTTGATGGGCTTTTGACAATATTTAAAATTCTAGCATTAGAAAAAGCTTGCAACAACTGCATTGACCCAAAGGCTAACTAGTAACAAAAAGCATGACATTGCAAAAATAGGTAAGGCATTAAGAACAACTTTAATAAGAACCTCCTTACCTGTAGTTGATAAGCAATTGTTTTTCTTGCTGAGAATTCTACTCCTTACCACTTATAAGATATAACTAAAAACTTAATTTTTGGAGTTTTTTATCCCTAGTGACAGGCCTAGATAACTAGCTGAGAAGTGAACTTTTAACCCATTAAGCAATCTGCAGCAGCTTTTCTGAAGTTGGGTAAGGGTATTCTTGCTGAAGAATACAGTAGATTTCTCCAAGTTAACATGCTGACCAGTAAAGGATTTATAGGGTTGCAGAATAGACATAATCTTATTGACCTGGAACTTCTCTGCTTTGCAAAAAACTAGTGAATCGTCTACAATTAATAAATGAGTCAACAAAGGGCCCCCTCTAGATACTCTGATGCCTTTGAAGCCACCTCTGTCTGCCTCCATATTAATCGTTGCAGAAAACAATGATAGGGGGACAACATGTCCCCCTGTAATGCCCCACTTTTATTTGCCAAAAATCAGAATAAAATGTTTCAAATTTATTTCAATAAACACCTGGGGCATTACTCATTTTCGAAACGAACTTTAACACTTATCCAATTTCTCAATACTAAATCAATTATCAATATCAATCATCAATCATCAGTAATTCAATCATCAATTTACTAACTCCCAAAACGGATTTTCCAAAAATGCATAATTCACCCAAACCGGGTTAAACAATATTCATAAATTCTAAGGAGCATCTCCTTAACATTATTTAACATTATTCAGTCATAAAATCGGAAATTTGTAAAAAAAAAAAACAATAATACTCCAAGTTCATAATCATAAAATTAGTTCATAAATGCGGAAGCATAACAAATAATAAGACCAGTCTTATAGACCGACACCACTCGCTTATCTCCACCGTCGCACCTGCCTCGCTTAACCTGAAACGTGAATTTCAGGTGGGGATGAGCACAGTTGGAAAAAGTAGTGCTCACCACTATGCAGTAAACATTATTCACAATAATAAAACAGTGATCAATAATCAATAAGGTATAGTCGCAGCATGTATACGAAACAATCAATTATCCCAATCTTCTATTAATCATATCAATAATAGACTCATGAGCACACCTACGCATAGACTACTGCCGACTATATATCGAATGCCCTCCGGCCTTACATCGAGTGTCCAGCCAGTAGGAGTAACCCGCCGGCCAAGGCCTCACCTTAGTCTTACCAACGTGGTTGTCCAACAAAGGGACCTTTAACCCAGGTCTCACGGCTCAAAAAGGAGACTACCCTACGGGTACGTTCTATAGCTACGGGGATAACCATTCGACGGTCGGTACAGCTCACATCGAAGGCTACATGGTTCACATGCATACATTGATCATACCATAGTTAAAACAGTACTAACATTTACAGCATAGACAATTTTAGAATAATAACCCACCTGGTAACTCGATAGAGAAGTCACACAAACAGGTCGGTAGGTCGAGGGCTCGAATCCTCAAACACCTACATTAAGTCCAGATGCTACAATTAACATATATACCGACTTAAACGGAATTCACAATTATTCTTAGCCGAACTTGATTCGACTAAGTTGTTCATGAAGTCCTGTGGACGTTGGAACATTTAGACTCGACACAAGACTCAACCAAACCACATATGGGAGTTCACATAAATCCCACTAAAGGTTGACCAAGTCAAACTCACAACAAAACGAAAAGCAAGTCGATTACCGATTATAATTCCAAAACCATATTTTCAAAATAATGACCATTAATCAGATAAAATCAGTTGGTCAGGTTACCCTATGACTTAAGCTCTGAAATTTTAACCAAAATTACATCTCCCAGTAATTAGTAAAATCACAAAATTCCAGCTCCAAACTCATAGTACATTAATTTACAAAATTCATACAAGATATCAGCAAAAACACACCTAAATCCATACCTGAACCTAATGAAGAAATCAGGACTTGATATTTTAACACAACAAGCTACAACATGATAGAGACAACATATAAAAATTTCAGCCCTGGACATTAACTATACAATTTTTAAAAATTCACACAAGTTTCAGGAATTATTGAATTTAAATCAAAATCGAACCAAAATTAACTCCAAAAATTTTCATCCTTTAAAAACATGAAAATAAACATAAGATAAGCATCTCAGCAAAGTTTCACAATATTTGAACAACCAACCGATTTATAGTAATTAAAACAACTTTCTGCAGGATCAGCAATAAAATTATTTACCCTATCAAACTTAGTCCAAAAATTCTAAAAATTTAACACAAAATATAAACATAACCAGGGCATAATATACTCAAATTTCAGAACATTTGAAGCACGAACCAATTTATTAAGTATTTAACAAGATTCTGACCAGAAATCATTTTATATAGAGCAGCTCCAATGCTGCACTACTCTAGCGTAATATGCTAGAGTAGAGACAAAATTGCTCTCCAACGCTGCGCTACATTTCTGCACTACTCTAGAGTTATGAACAGTATCGCGCTACATCTGGCGCGGTACTATTCATTACTCTACAATTTTTATTTTTTTTATTTTTTTATATTATATGTAATTGATTTATCTTAAACATTATTATTTGACAAAATTTGTACCATAATTATAATTTAATTTTTGAATTATATGAAAATATTATTTTTAAAATTTTTATATTTATATTGAATTCCTATAAAATAAATCAAATAAGATAAAATAATAATAATTATTTGTCCAACAATATTTCAATCTTGTAGTAGACCAACTAACATCATGATATATTTATTTTATAAAATAATATGGTCAATTAAATAATATTTTAACATGTTAAATAAATTAAAATAATATGAATAATATATGTGGAGTAGAATGTAGCGCGAATGGTTGGAGACCAAATTTGATTTTTGTTTAGCTTTACTCTAGAGTAGAGTAAACTCTACACTAGAGTAGAGATACGGACTGGAGATGGTCTTAGTAAAAATAGCTACAGGCCTCCAAAAATTACGAAATTTTTACACAGGCCTGGTAATAAACAGAAAACATATCCTTCAAAATTTCAAGGCAATCCGAGCAGTGTGCGATTTTTAATAATTCTAACACTAAAACAGTGGTATTCGAGTTCGACAATTTTGCACAAGACTCATAACACTTAACTCTCGTCCGAGGCCTTCTCATAAGGTCAAGGACTCGACATGGTTCCAAAATCCATAGCCTTACATGAGTTTCGAGGTCTCGTTCGATTCTTTATAATCAAAGAGATCCTCAAAACACGAATCAACACAATAAATTCCCAAAATTCACACAATATCATGTCAAGTCTCGACATATTCAAACCATATCAACAAGGTAATCGATTTAACATAATAAAACACATTAAACACATAACACAAGATAGACGAGAACGGGTTCGACTAGGTACCGTTCTCATGAAACCGGCTTGAAAACGAAATGAATAACACGAACGGGGTCAACGGCTAACACACAGCGGTTAGCGGCGGCAAGCTCGATGGCGAAGCTTCGTCTCACGGAGGAGGGTTCATCTCTGCTACTAGGTCACGACCAGGGTCGCTGCTCGGTCGGTAAGGTAACCGGAGTTACTGTACGTTCGCGGCGGCACGTGGAGGACGATCGCGGAGGTGCTGCGCGAA